ATTTCTGTATAAATGACTAATTCAAAACTGTTTCTCTAGATAGCGTATGAAAAAACAATAAAGGATATTCTCTCGATTATGAATAAAAGTGAAGAATCCGAGAGTGATAATAATTTTAAAGGATGGCGTCGATCAACACTTGGAACACCATTGTTCAAAAAAATTGTGAAGTTCAAATAACTATCAAACAAGATATTAGAACATATATTTACGTAATATTCATTAACTAATTATATGCTATATCAGCTGTTTCTTTTCTTTCAATATTAATAAAGTTATTTGCTCACAATCCGGTTTTAATTGGCCTTACTATATATAATACGTACATGGTTTCATATACTGTATTTATAAAATGCATATATACAAAAAGACAGAATCAAACCTTATTTGTCCAATTTCAGGGGTATGTCCCAACCAAGCCATACGCTTAAAGGATCGTCTACTGCCTTAGTAAAATCAAAAACCACGAATTTTCGATCCCGCAAATGCTTATCAATAATCTTGGATGCCTTTTTTGGATCATCTGTATATTGACGCACGATTCTACTAATATCGTCTCTACTACCCGAGCCCCGAAATAAGCATAAATGTGAGATATTTTCACGAATAATTTTAGGTGTTTGTGTATATTTCTGACTCACATATATTGGCAAGACATTTTGATGCCGGCCACTAATGAAGTAAGGAATAATTCGTTCTTGTACTTTTTTGGGTTCGGCACATAGATCCTCAAAAACAATAACCGTACTTCGTTCTGGAGAGAATTTAGTTATATCTGGGATCTTATCTGGTAATATCCATTTAAATGTAACATCTTCTCAATATGGTTTTGGAGCATTTGCAAAGATCTGATAGCTATTTTGTACAAGTTGCCATTTTGGTTCAAAATGGTTGGCTACTAATCTGAGATCATCATTTCTAATATACCGTTTACCTTTTTTTCCATTGAACATGCATTGTAGTTTGTTACCAAGCATGAGATTTATTTCCATGTTAGTTTTTCCGCTATTTGAGCTTCCATTTATAAGCATCCTAAATGGGCAGTCTGGCAAATACTTATTACCCTTCATTCGTTCTGATGACTTTGTAGATGTCTCATTGATATTATATACATATATGGGCATGCCTTTATCTTTCATCTTATTCAAACTAAGTAGTACTAATCTATTATATCGAAAAAAAAACATTAATTAATCGAACCAGATAAGCATTTAAAGTTTTACTTTTATTCTAGAAGACCCGAGTTCTTGAAGAATATTATATAGCGAATATAAAATAGCGGAACTTCGTGAACAACTTTCTGAATTTATAGGTTTCAAACCTGATGAGATTCATTTTCCAGAAAC